GAAAGAATCCCATCTCATACGTGCAAAGAATGATGGCCCAAACGTGAATGCCAGACATCAAAAGAGATCAACAATCGCTTTGTCTCTTTCTACCGGAATTGCGGCTTTACCGGTGTTAGCATGCGGCATTACCGGGGTTCTATCTTTTATCGATTCCGCACAAACACCCTCTTTTTCCTTTCAGGTTTGAACTCCTAAAGAAAGAGAAGGTTGAAGAGTTCGAGAGATGTATATATGACAGACCCAAGGACTTGTAAGTCAGAAGGACGCAATAGTAAGAAGAAAAGAGCAGTAGCAGCTGCAAGAGGAGTATACAACAACCAATGGTTCACAGCCCCAGACAGAAAGTCAGTTTCCACTCACGACCAAAGTGTTGTTGCACCTTTACCATTTTCAACATAACAAGGTTTTAGTCCTTACGAGGGCTCTTTTGCACCTACCAATAGGCGCCTAAGTCTATGAGCTTCTGGGCTATGTCTCACTTAACCTATACAGTTATGAAAATCGTCTTTTTGGTAGATCACGTGAGGGAAGACCAAGCAAGGTCACTGAGAACACTAACGGAACACTTTCTTACTCCCACTGACCAACTAGTGCGCTATGAAGATAACTACACTATAGTTCATGCTACTTTAATAAAAAACCGTCTCTTTGGGATTTTCTTTAATAAGTTCAATCTCAATGGCCCCGCTTTCATCAAAAGCCTCGTCTTTGTGGCTACGGGAGGACTGATCAGGGATGATCGAGGTATCTAGGTGAAGGTTTTATGGGTAAGTTGGGACCATGCATAACTAACTAGATTCTCAAAATCTTGATGTTTGGTCTACATAAACTCAAAATGAAAAGGATTTTTTGAGTGATAATGGCTTCAGGAAACAATTCCCCCCATTTTGATTTGCAAAAACCACGGTACAATCTTTCCTCGATCTTGGACAATCCCTGTCTCAGCTTGGTCCACGTAAAAGTTGGTCCCTCTCTGAAGCATGCTAAGACTTCTTTCTGAACTAGTTAATCTTGAAAGAAAGGTAGTGAGAAGTGCTTATAGATAGAATTCCTTTTTCAAAATCCCTTGTTCCTAGATGCGGGAAATCTCCTTTTATAAAAAAATAGTTAATGCAGAAAAAGAAAGCACAAACAGGATACTGGGACTTTCCTACGAAGCAAATAATGGCTTGACTCCAAACGACTGGAGACTGGTTACTCTCTAAGAACCGTGCTACTAAGCACTTGATTCCTTTCTTTCGTTCTTGAAAGAAAAGAAGGCAGGAGGAAGATTGCTTTGTTGAAAGGTAAGGCTTGGAAGTGAAGCGGCTGGGAATGGAAAAGACTTAACAAAGGGAGAATTGGCTTATTCTAGTTTCTAGTGTACATCCGGTTTTCGGAATCAAAGAGAAGACTGGATCTTGTATAAGAACAACTTCTTCTTCCTAAGACTAAGACCGGCTTGCACGTGGGATTTTTACCAAGCCGAATCTGTGGACATTCCATTACTTTCATCGCCTCAAGGAACCTATCTGACTCTTGAAGAAAGAACTCCGAGTGAACAAATCCATATTAGCTCTGAATCGGTAGGCTAAGTAAGTACTTCCATTGGCCTGGCCAGGCTTTCCTTTCTTATCTGACTCTTGAAGAAAGACAGAAGGGAGAGTGAAGCAAGGGGAAAAAGAAAGGAAGTACAATAGGGAAGATAATGGATTTTGCAAGAATCGGCATAACCACTCTTAAAGGAATGGTAGATGGGATCGATCCCACTCCTATACCTGAGGCGAAAGGTCAATGCTTTTTTGGTTCCATAAATAGATCTCTTTAAGAAGAAACTGTGAACTGAACGTGGGCAGCATTAGATTAATTCGAGTAGGGAGGGAAACTGCTCTCTCTTAAAGACTAGGCATGGCAATAGTCCCCAAAATTCCGGGGACCTGTCTCACCCCGCCCCATATGGGGCGGGGAAGGCCCTTTTTTTTGGGGATAGGGGCGGGGGTGGGAGGTGTTGTAATCCCGGTTCCCGGGGATGGGGCGGGGGTGGGTGATGCCTTTCTCCCGCCCCGTATACAAAGAAAAGTAAATAAAAACCAGTAAGATAAAAGCTTCAGCATTTGGCAATGGATTTGTGTAATTCGGGGGTGTTAATATAATGACAATTAGTTGTTAATTATATTAATTAAAAGAAAAAGATGCTCTTAATTTAGCCCCACACTACTTAAACCCTATACATAATATGAAATATGCCTCCTAATATAGGTACCAGCTGTCTATGTGATTAAAGTTTACCTTACATGTGCTCAACCATGAACATCACTACTTAAAATGGCCATTTCAAATAAAATTTTTATTTTAAAAAAAATAAAACAATTTGTGCATAAAATAGACTAATACATGGTACCAATTAGGCATTTGATTAATTGAATTAAACGTTGTTCAAGATCTCAACAACTCAATCATTCTCGTATTAATAAATTTCCAAACCCTAAGAAAGAGTAAGATTATATAAATGTAAACTAAATTTTTGCCAATGTCGTCAGTGGCCATCCACATTTGTTAATCAGTCGATTGCATCTTGGATGATGCAATGGGTTACATGAGAATTAAAATTATGATATATATATTTATTTATTTACTTTTCACTAATTACTAACACTCCCATATATTTCATCTAATTATACAATTATTATACCTATATAAACCCAACCTAAACAATTAAACAAGAACAAACCCTAACCCATATTGTCGCCATTGCCGTTCGCCAATGCTGATTTCTTCCACTAGTTTGATCTCTCCGATCTGGCCAAACTTCAACTCTCTCTACAAAGGTATTTTCATTCATCTTTAGTATTGAAAAGTGGATTAGTTAATATTGATAAAGATACAAGACGTGGTTTTAAAACTAAACAAACAATTAAGCTTTGTGTTAGTATGATTAGGATCATGGAGTGAAGTGCTCTAATCATTATCTCCATAAATACACAAAGTGGGTTTTCAAATCACTTTTATTATCATTACAATTATGATGTTGATTCTAAGCATTATTGCATNTTTTTTTTTTCTCTAAAATTAAAGACAAGTTTTAAATTGAATTGAAGAGAAAATACCTGGGGAATTAAAGTGGACCTAGAGGAAGTTTGAAGGAAGCGGATGACAGCCCAGAAGTAAGGTTTGGTCCAATCTCCGTCATGTTGAAGGATTTTCAAGGGGCAAGAACGTTTATTATTAAGCCTCTGAATCAAGGATTTGAGTGCTTGGTGTTGATGGTAGGTCTCAACGAGAAAAGTTGTGTGTTTGGTTGAATTATGGAGAGAATAAGTTATGGGTTTTGTGGTTAGGGTTTTGGAGAAAAAGTTGTATTTAAAAGGGATATTATGGTTACGGAGTTGCAGGGACATTACATTCTCCATTGTTCTTCAATTGCGTGAGCTGCTGTTTGCTGTTCTGAATTTATATGCCAGTTACCCCTGAATTACTAAGCCTTTAAATATTCAACATTTTTCTTAACATTTTTTTGTTTTATATTTTAGAAATATTTGTTAGTTGTTTAATTTTTTAATTTTAATGATTTCTTTTAAAAATATTTAAGCATTTATTATTTAAGTAAATATAATTTACAGATGATAAATATTTCCCTATCTGGGGCGACTTTCTTTTTAGTCGATCGTGATCTAAGTCTATTATTCTTTTCATCGGCAAAGCGCTTTCTTTTAAGAAAGCATCTGATTCCATCTTTCTTTCGTTAGTTAACCCACCTTTTTTTAAAAGGGATTGTAGAAATTACAATAACAGCAACTACTTTAAATATTCTTAATATTCCTTATTTTACTTAATTATGTTAATATTATCGTTAAACTTAGGGGTGGAAAAAACTGGTTAACTGGAAGCTTGAACCAAACCGATTTTCGGTTCAAAAAAACCGAACCGAAAATTCGGTTCGATTAACCTGTTTTAAACCGGTTAAATATTGGGCTACATTTTTTGGCCCAATTATGAATTATGGGCTACATTTTTTGGCCCAATTCGGTCACACTCCAATTTGGCCCCTTTTTTTTCCAATTTTTTTTTATTTGAATTAAAATTATATTTATTGTAATTGAATAATTTGAATTCATAAAATTTTAATGTACATCAAATATTAATAATTTAAAATTACAAATCAAAGATTGCAAAAACAAATACATGATACAAACTCCGATTTCAAATTATAAAGTACACAAAGACATTTTCAAATCAAACATATGCAAACTAAAAAATAGTCCCCTGTTGCCAACTTAGTTTCCACCCTAAAATTACAAATCAAACACATGAATAAAATAAGAAACAGATTTCCACAAGATCTAAATCAAACACATGATTAAAACTAGCAAACACATTTCAACAAAACAAACATAACAAACACATTTCCACAAAACAAACATAACAAACACATTTCAACAAAACAAACATAACAAACACATTTCCACAAAACAAACCTAAGTACACAACAAGCACATTTCCAAATCAAATAATGAAATGCAAACTTAGAAGATACACAAACAGAGTTCACAAAGACAAATATAAATATAACAAATCCACAAAAATATTTCAAAAGAGGCCTCCAAGCAAGCAATAACTGTCAAACTCCAAGCACATGCCAATCCATTGTCAAATGTCAACTGTCAAAACAAAAAAAGTTCCACAACTTGTTAGGTAGCTTCAATTTTAAATTTCTTTCTTTTTATAAGTTTGTCCAATCAAATCTAGAAATTAATAAATAGAAGAACAAATGAAACTAAATAAAGTCATAATATATACCTCGTTATTGGAAATTTGGATTGCCCTTCAATCATTTAGTTGAGGACGAGTACTTTCTACTATGAAAGATGGAAATTCTGCAAAAAATTGGATAAACACATAATTAAATAATTGAAAGTATAATTAACAAATCCAACACATACATAATTAATTAATTGAAAGTAAAGCAAAAATTTTACCTGACTCAATTTTTGTTAACTTATCCAAGGTGTCCTCAATGGCTAATGGTGAACGCGTAGTCCGAATCCAATCTTGTGTGTAGATAAGAGCTTCCACCATTTTCGAGTAAGGGAGCTACGAAATTGATCAAATACACGACCCCCCGTACTAAAAGCCGACTCAGATGCAATAGTTGAAATGGGCATAGCCAATACATCTCGTGCTATCAAAGAGAGAACTGGATATTTTGTTGAATTCATCTTCCACCATTTCAAGAGATCAAATGTCTTGTCATTGTCATTTTCAACGTCATCAGCTAAATACTTATCCAACTCTGATTTAGACTTATTAGCTTGGCTTTCAATCTTTCTCTTTTTAAACTTAACCCTCATGCATTCTTGAGGATCAATATCAGCATCACCATGATCAACTGCAGTTGCACCTGAAGATTGCTGACTTGACTGCGTAGTAAGAGCCCCAGCCACCTTACACAAATTGTAATGGTTAAATAAAGACAACAAAATTTCCATCACTTTTTTCTTTAACTTATCAGCAGTAAAAACATCATAAAACTCATCAATCACCCAGTCAACACATTCTAACTTGTCCCTAGGGTCTAAAACAACCGCAATGAATAACATTATGTTGATATTATCAACATTTGAACAATATTTGTCAAATTTTCCCTTCATCCTTACGGCCATAGAACTTAAGCTAAGATCATGACTGTGAGACCATTCTGAAATCTTCATCCCAGTGCTATATATCTGTCGCATGTACTCATTACCAGTTACATAAAAAGATCCGAACACAATTATGGTAGCATCATAGAAAATTTTCAGAAACGGTAACAAGTATCGGGCATATTCCCAATCACTAAACGTAGGCAAACCCTTTGACCTGTCCCCATTAGAAAGCTCATCTCTGTACTTACTATCTTCTATTTCCAATAATTCAAATGCTCTCTGGAATTTAACTATGGTATCCAACATCAAATAAGTAGAGTTTCACCTTGTTTCTACATCAAGCACCAAATGACTCTTACTTTCAATTTTTTCTTTCTCCACACACTCCATAAATCTCATTAACCTTGCTGGAGAAGACCTCACATATCTTATTGCAGCACGAATTCTAAATATGGAGTCATCCATATCTTTTAACCCCTCTTTTACAATCAAACTTAGTATGTGTGCGCAACATCTCATGTGAAGAAATTGACCACCCAAGACATTTCCCTGCCAACTTGATAACCGAGTCCTAAGATAGCTTATACCCACATCATTAGAACTCATTGTCGATCGTTACTATGAATACTTTAGAAATACCCCAATCAAGTAAGCATCTCTCCAGTCTTCCCAATGATTAAACCTTTATGACTACTTATAGGACAAAAGTTTAAAATCCTTTTGTGTAGTTGCCAATTGTCATCGATGAAGAGCCGTAAGACACATATAGTTGAGGTTCTGACAACTTGTCCATGTATCAATAGTGAGACAAACTGTGTAATTGAACTTACTAAAAAACTTCTTTAGCTTTTCACTCTCTTCAAGATAAATCTTGAAACAATCAGTAGCCACAGTCTTACGGGAGGGCATTTGAAACCTAGGCTATGCCGTAGTCATCACATGGCGAAACCCCTCATGCTCCACAAAATTAAACGGTAGCTCATCGATAATGATCATTTGGGCAATAGTTTTTCTAATAAAATCTTGATCAAATTTCCATGACAACAATGAAGATTGTGTAGAGAGGGCAGCCTCACTTGAGAGGTCACGTGATGCTTGTTGAAAGAATAACGTCTTCTGTCTCTTGTCCACCACATTCAAAGGATACTTTTTACACCTACTTAAGTGGTTATGTAGACAACTTGTACCACTTTTACTTGGACAAGCAAGAACATTCCGACAATAGTTACATGTTGCCGTCAAATCATCCTTATTCTCACACTCATTTTTGGTGAAGTGATCCCACATTTCAGATGTATATTTCCTACTAATAGTAGATTTCGCATGTTTGAGACCTGAAGGTATGGGTGGTCTTGGTGTAGGTGCTTGAGTGTCATGTGAAGTGTCAAAAGTGGGTGTGTTATTATCACTAGTCGAAGATATCTACAATGGCATAAAAAAGGAATATGCATTAACTATTTGTGGTTAGTCAAGGCCCAATAGTCTAAGGCACCATGCATTTATATTATTCTAAGAATCAAAATCTTGTAACAGTCAAAGAGATATAATCGAAAATTGGAATTGGAATTGGAAATAACTAACATTTCAACATGTACACAAAATTACCAATGTAATAAAGCTCACTAACCTTCTTTAAATCAGTAGTACTTGGGACTTCCTCACTTGAATTCCTGAAACGATTAATTATACACAAAAATCAATACAAATAATGAACAAAATAAAATACAGTTACACTAAAAATGAAGTAATTAAATTACCCAGGAGAGGACAACTTCTCGTATGCCTCTTTCAGTCCTTCAATAGGATTGCACCATTTCATTTTGAAAGCTAGAATTCACAAATTAAACGCACTAGAAATTAAGACTCAGGAAAAGTTAATAATCTACAAAGAAAAGTGCAAATTGCTTAGACAATTAATTGATTCTTCATTAACCAGAAAATTAAAGTAGATATTTGCATATGGCATAATAAGCGACCTCAAAGTTCAAAAAGAAATGAAACCTGATTTGCTATATAAATCTCCTTCTTGCTTTCACTTTCGTTCGTCGTGATAATTGTAATGTAACGTATTTCCTTTCTGCAACTTCACTTGTACCGCCGAAGAGGAGTCATTGACTAATGATTCCAACTTCCTCCTTCGTAGTTTGTATGATCTTTAATCATCTATGCAATAGCTTATTATAGTAGTTAGTAGTGTCATTTAATGGACTTAATTTATTCCCTTACATAGATGATATGTGGAAAGAGAATAAATATTCATATAAATAACACAAGACTGGGTTTCATAAGCATATATTAAATGAAACAGAAGATCTCTGATTTAAATTCACAAAGAGGAAACAAAAGATCTTAGATTTAATGTCGTGAGGGGTAGCTGATAGAACTCATCATTCTGGAACAAACTAGTTTTATATATCATGATCATACAGTATCATACAAGTACGACAGATGTCATAACTATGCAGAGGCTTTCGATCTCTCTGTGATCTTGTATTGGATTTATGTATTAATATTATTATAACATGAATATGAACTAAAAGGGTTCCTGTTGATCCAATTAATTATCGGGAATCATTCTTGGCGCTAAGAGTTCCAACCGTCCAAAGCAGACAAAACAAATTGAGCAACTTTTGGGAAGAGAAAGAAGGAAGATAATGGGCGTGCAACATTCCTTTATTAGACAAAAAGATTAAACAAAATCATTTTCAGTTGACTTATTTTACGTAATATGATTTCATAAGGAAAAAGAGAGAACCTGTATATCTTTAATCTGTCGGATGAGTTGGGATCATATATTAAAAGTAATCCATAAATTTCTTCAGTTTGGTTGCAAATAAACATGAATAAACAAGTGACAATACAGACCTGAAAACCCAGATCTAAAATCCACTGAAAACACAGATCTAAGAGAGAATGCGAGACTTACTGAGGTTTGAGGTGAGTGAGCCGTGAAGTGAGTCCGACAGAGAATGAGAGACAGAGAATGTGGCTGCGACGTGCGACGTGTAAAACCCCTCCCTAGCCGGGTATTTCCTAAGTATCCCTTGGCCATTGAGAACCTAGAAAACGCACGCCTANAACCAATTCAATTCAATTCAGTCCAATTCAATTCTCACTCGTTGTCTGTTTATGGAGAGCGAATCGCTGAGTTGAATCGGAGCGATACGAGATCTGACTCACTCTCTCCGTCGTCTAACTCATGGGCGCTGCCGGCTCCAAACTCGAGAAGGCTCTCGGCGACCAGTTCCCCGAAGGCGAGCGTTACTTTGGCCTCGAGAATTTTGGCAATACTTGTTATTGCAACAGCGTTTTGCAGGTCAGATTTTTATTAGTTTTGTGATTGAGTTCTTTTGTGGAGACATTTTAAATTAGGTTTTAATTTGAGTTTTTGTTCATTCTTCATTGTTGTTTGACCGAAACGGGTTTAGTTATTAGTTTAGATGTAGTTGATTTGGTGTTGTATTGTCGTTGTGGTGTGTTTTTTTGTGATTAAAACGCTGTCATTTTTGGTAGTATTTATGCTCAAGTACTGGGTTACATTACTGAAAATAAATTTAAAAATAACAAGTGAAGAAGAATAAGCATTTTACAGTATGATTCGTTTTTGGTTTACTTCATGTTAATTATGAGAAATTTGACTGGCCTTTCTTCTGGATATTGTTTTATAAACAGTTTTACTCACATTTTGGAGTCAGTTGCTAGCAACTCCACGTCATGTTTTTCCATATCGTAGTATCCATATTGGAAGAATTTGAATGTATTGTTTCTCTACTTTAACATCTTTGAAATACCCTTATTGCTTTGATTTCTAAGACATCCCTTATTTTAATTTCATGATTTATTTGCCAACAATTGCTATTTAGTTCCTCTTATTCTGTCAGTTTATAGTAGCATCCATTAGATGCCAGTTTCGTTGTGCTTGTATGTATTCATATTGGAAGGGAGCTGAAAACTCAAAAGGTTTTGTTTTATGTACTTGTTGAAAATGTCTAAGAGACTAGAGTCAGTATATTTCTTATGGGATAAAATAGAAAGCATTTTCCATTATAATGTTTGAAAATGAGTGTTCTAAGGGTACGCTCACACTCCCTCAAACCTTTTCCTTTCTATGCAGGCACTTTATTTTTGTGTTCCATTTCGGGAACAGTTGCTAGAGTACTACTCAAATAATAAAAACGTAGGGGATGCTGAAGAGAATCTCTTGACATGTTTGGCAGACTTATTTACGCAGGTAAAGTTCTACTTATAGTTCCTGTTAGTTACTTTGGCACAGTTGTTTCGTTTTGCTCTTACATACTACCCACCATAGAGTCAATCCCATCTTTTTAAGCGTAGGAATCTTGCATATTGAAGGTAGAAACTTTCCCTTCATTGTACAATAGGTTGTTTTTGCTGCAGTTGTTATGTAAATGACCAAACTTTATATTACCCATATGAGAATGCTTTCTTAATTTTTTCCTTTGTTTCTTATCTCAAGACATACAATAAGTTCTCAAATAAGTATTTATAGTGGTGGACTACTGAGTAATTATCCTCTTGATGCAATCAATGTGAGTTGATAGGGAACTAATTGAGATTTCTTCTTAGGTGTCATGGAAAGTATGATTATTCTCATTCAATCTAATTTATTTTCTTATAATAATAATGTGAGTAATTTCACAGAAGGATCTAGCTCAGTCCACTATTAACAGTAGGTTTGTTGTTCTGTTTGTGTAGATAAGTTCTCAGAAGAAGAAAACAGGTGTCATTGCCCCAAAGCGTTTTGTGCAGAGATTGAAGAAACAAAATGAGCTTTTCCGCAGCTATATGCACCAGGTACGTTTTATCAGTAACTGATTATATGAGCTATTGCTGGAAATGTTGAATTTATATGAGAAGGCTAAAGATGTCGGAGATGTAAAGGGCAGTCGAAGCTAACAAATGAGGGCATGATTAAGAATGATGAAAATGATACCGTTTATTCATAAAATCTTGTTTATCCTTTTGAAGATCGATGTTACTAGTGCAACTACTTGGTGGCTAGGTTTTGGTGACATCGGAGCTACACTACATTATAACGATGTATTTTCTTTTCCTAAGCTTCCAGAATTACTTGAGATTTTCCCCCAGATGATTATTAATATAGGGTGGATTTTTCTCTGCAAAGTATTGCTGCTGGTTTAGAATGTTACTTCATGGGTTTCGTTGGTGTTACTACATATTGTTTGTTGTTAGTGAAACAGGTAAAATGGCAAATCATACTTCCATGAAATTCGCTTTGGTAAATTCTGTAGTTGCAGATGCTGGCATCCACTGCGGAAGTTGTGAGCAAGCACTTTAGAGTAGCTGGAGCTTGTGGACTTGTTGAAACATTAGTCGGGAATTCTATTTTATACTGTAATGATGTCATTATATAGGACTTTAGTTATCAACCTTATTTTGCAATGCTTTTGATTGCTTTGGACAATTACTGGAAAACCAGTTGAGTTCTGAAGGTTCAGATCGCCAATTGAGAATGGTGACACAATATCTGGAGAGCCTGAAGCATGTTTTGCATTTGGAAAAGTCAAAGTACAATATTTGGCTATTGCAAGACAGTATATTAGAACACCTTTTATCTTGTTCCTTTGCCAATTTTTGCTGCTTGTTATTTAGAGAGGACTGACAATTTGGTCATGTTTGCAAATTTGCTACCATCACCAGTTTAGGCTCAAGGAAATGCCCTCTAAATTATGTATTGCAACATGTAATGAAGTATAAGGTGGATGTTCGTTTTCCTCCTATTATTAATGCATCCGTTGTCTTTGCCACATTGTATTTGCTTTTTGTAGTAATTTAAAGATCAGAGAGAGGAATAAATATTTATTTCCTTCATTTTCCCCTTCTGTTTGTAGGATGCTCATGAATTCTTGAATTTCTTGCTGAATGAACTTGTTGACATACTTGAGAAAGAGGCTCAAGCTGCAAAAAGTGATCCAGAAACTTCATCACCACCGGAAAAGATTGCAAATGGGCCGAAGAATGGTCATGCAAATGGTGTTAGGAAAGAGCCGTTGGTTACCTGGGTGCACAAAAATTTTCAGGTGATATTTCTTGTCCATTTCATGTATCTTTGTTCATCATTTTTTGCTTTAATTAGTTAACAGGATAGTACAATGCTGGAATAATATCATTTAGCTCTTATTTTCTTAAATACATTTTGCTATAAATGTTACTGGTGTTTGTATTTCTACGGTGGAAGCTCATGAGTTCCTTAAAAAAAATATTGCTGTTTTCATTAAAAACAAAAGTGTATTGCTGTGTAATGCTTTATAAATTGTTATATTTGCCATCCTGTACAAGAATCATGATTTTTTTTTAACAAATCAGGGAATACTTACTAATGAGACAAGGTGCTTGCGGTGTGAGACAGTGACAGCTAGAGATGAAACTTTTTTTGACTTGAGTCTTGATATAGAACAAAACAGTTCAATAACAAGCTGTTTGAAAAATTTTAGCTCCACAGAAACTTTGAATGCAGAGGACAAATTTTTCTGTGACAAGTGTTGCAGGTTTGTGATTCATACTAAATTCTTAATTACTGTTGCCTCAGTCAATATTACATGCATCATACTTTTATGGTATTATTTATTGTTTACTTGTTTCTAACTAATTTGGATCTGGTTTTCTGCTAAAAAATTACTCCGTTCTATAATTTGGAATGCATCCTGCTTCCTTTGGAATTCTAATTTGCTTGTTGACCTAAACAACATTCATTAGAACATGGAAATTTCCTTTTCTTGTCGTCTGTTTTGCTTTAGGTTTTATTGGTAACAAAATAGAGACTAATCATTTTATATGAATTTCTGCACCCGATCCAAGTTATCTAAAGTTTGTGTTCAACGCCGCCATCGAAAGATTACTCTGACTATCTAATTATAGGGGGAAGAGGTGGCACTGCCGGTTGTCGACATGGGTTGGAACTTTTTCCATTCAATAACATAGTGAATCTGTTTTTCATTATCTTGCAGCTTGCAAGAAGCGCAGAAGAGGATGAAGATAAAGAAGCCTCCTCATATCCTGGTCATCCATCTAAAGCGGTTTAAATACATCGAGCAGCTTGGGCGATACAAGAAGTTATCATACCGGGTCGTCTTTCCACTTGAACTTAAGCTTAGCAACACAATGGAAGATTCAGATATCGAGTATTCACTATTTGCTGTAGTAGTCCATGTTGGGAGTGGGCCAAACCATGGGCATTATGTCAGTCTTGTGAAAAGCCATAACCACTGGTTGTTTTTTGATGACGAAAACGTGGAGATGATCGACGAGTCAGCCGTGCAAACATTTTTTGGGTCGGCACAGGAATATTCAAGTAATACAGATCATGGGTACATCTTGTTCTATGAGAGCATCAGTGCTAGTAGCAAGAGTTGAGTAGAGGAGATGGAGAGGAGAGGAAGGGCTTTGGTTTTATTACAATCATTAGTTACTTTTTAATCATTCGGACTGAGATTTTTCGTTTTACTGTCGATGTCTATTAATTTTCTTTTGTTTTTTTCAACCTGTGAGAAGAGCTATGAATGAGAGGGAGAGATGGAAATGGAAATGGAAATGGGTTGTGAAAAATGTATACTTAGGATGTACAGTGGATGGTGGTGGAAGCACACTTCTGTCCTTTTGTTTTTTGTTTAACAATAAGAGGGAAAAAAAGAGCAGCACAGTGTATATGGTGTGTGAGATTATCACAGAGACAGTTTGTATTCTTGCTGTTTGAGAATGTTAATTTAACACTAGAAAATTGCAATTTGCTCAACTCACTCACTACTACTATAAAGATGGTTCCTACTTGCTAGTATTTAGATTTTGCATTGATTAAATTCAACATGCTGAAGTTTTCTATTTTTATAGATAAAATTGGATCATCACGTTGTTCGCATTGTTAATTGACGGATTTAGCTATTGTAACACAAAATTTTGATTATTATTTATTAATAAAATACAATTCATGGTCTACCCATGATTATTGATAAAATACAATTCATGGTCCACACATGAATTGATACTGATGTTGCAGTAATCTATAAGATAGATACTGAGTAATTTACATTTAAGTTGGGTTTGATTTGAAAAATATTTTATTGCTGAAAATATAAGATTAATAGTGAGATAAATTATTTTAAAGATTATGGGGGAATGTTATATCAATATGTTTAGTTATATTATAGGGTATAAATAATTAAGATGTTTGATTGAGAAGAATAAAAAATTATTGACAGAAACTTTTATTTAATTGCCCTTCTTTTACAATATAATTATAATGTTATTATTATTATTTAAATAATTTTTTTTAACCGCCTATATTTGAGAATTTAGCTAAAACCCTTAATAACAAAGTTTAAATTTTAATAAAATATCCCTCAATCACCCAAGACCACCACCGACTATCGGCCACCACTGCCGATTGGTGGCGGCAGTCATCGAAATAGTACATGAATAGCGAGATTTTGCTGGCTGTGCATCATTTTGACTGTTTTCGACTAGATCAAAGGCCGAAAACAGTTAAATCACAATGGATCTATCCAGCCAAATCCACGCCAATCTAGCAGTTTTTAGCCAGATTGAAGGCCAAAAACAATTAGATCATCATGGATTTGGCTGAAAACGGCCACAAACAACTAGATATATTCTAGTTGTTTTCGACCAAAACCACGACGATTTGGTTGTTTCAACCTTCGATATGGCCAGAAACAATCAAATCGGCGCAGGGTTGGCCAGATCTCGCTAGTCATGCGTCAATCTGACGCCTATTTTTAGCGGCCAACAATGGTGGCTTGCAATCAGTAGCGGTCTTTGATGGCTAGAGGAATTTTGTTATCTTTTAAACTTTTAGTGACTATGGTGTTTTAACTAAATTCTCAAATATAGGGGATTTGGGTAATTGTTATTTGGTAGACATCTAAGAGCTTAAATCCAAAAAATCCAAAATGGTTTATATTTAAGAGCAAATTTGGTTTAAAAAAAAAAAAAAGATAATCTTAGTTAAAAAAAATTAACACTCATCTGATAACCCCCAAAATGACTAACTAACAGTATTCACTATTGGGAATGAAACATTCACGTAATCTTATATTACTGTCAAAAGAAACAAAAGAATGTCTGGAATCAAAGATAGATAAAAAGAGTTAACTGCCCATAGCCCTAACCAAACACAGCCTCAATGTAGTATTATCTTTATTAATGATACAAGTCATACCATGTCTAAGACAGACAGCTGAATGTGATACAATTCCTAACTCACACTTCAGCTGTGAAGGAATAATCGGATTAATTGAGAAGTTACAACTTTTACCAATGGATGTTAATAAAATCTGTTTTTTTACAAGATTATGGGGTGAACCCACATTTTATCTCACTCAAGCAGTGGGCATGAAAGTGTCATCATCTAACAATGCTTCAATATCCATCAGATTGTTGTAGAAATCTGCGGAAACTTCTGAATTTTCAAAGCAATAACCTGCATTATTTCCATCACCGAACACGAAAGTGTCAACATCTAACAATGAGTCAAAATCTACGGAAACTTCTGAATTGTTGAGAGCCGTGGCCTGCATTAAGAAGAAATAAACATGTTTAATGAAACAAGAAGTGGGTAGTATTAGATATTGCAATTTGAATATAATGATCAAAGTTTTGAGCTCCTTAAGTTGCCATGTGATTAACATAAAGAAAAAGACAAAAGTAAATAAGGCTTGAGCAATGTAAAAATCTGTATTTGTATGTTAAACTATAATGTGGAATTCATACTCTCATGTTTAATTTCGACCATTGTCTTTATGGTAGCAGGACCCATTTGGGAACAGGAAAACTAAGCAATTCTACCCTACTTTAATCTGGTCCTTCCATGATCAATCATGTAGTTTTATAAAGAAGAAAAGAAAATGAACTCTACAAATAAGAAAAGAAGTTCTAGATCCTACAAATTTCCAGGCCTCAAGGCCATTAATCTCCAAAATCCTTTTCATAAAAGAGTGCAAGAGAATACTGTGTAGGTGCATATATATATATATATATAGTTAACTAGAGAGAGTTCAGTTACCTTTGTTTCTTGGATTTCATTGACAACATTCAGCAGTCTACTGTACTGATCTCTTGCCTCAGGATACTGAACCATGGACTTCACTCTGGCAAGTGCCTGCTGCAACCTTTCTTCTTTCTGCTTTCTGCCTTCTTTCAGGAAATCATAATCATCCTCCTTTGTGGAAGTATCTATCATGCTGGAACTCTCTGTAAGTGCTTCCGACTTAAATCCACGCAAACCACTTCCCTTTCGTCTCCAACGCAAGATACTCTTCTCCAGAATTCCTACTGACCAAATTATACTCTTTTTCCTTACCTGGTGACCTCTAATATGTGCCTATCAGACAAAAAGGCATTAAATTAGACTTCACAAATTTAACATTAGGGAAAAAAAAAAAAAAAAAAAGGAGCTTGCAGTATAGATTTAAAGAGAAGATAAATGCCTAGAAGAACATGAGCCAGGAAACCATGAGAACCGGAAATGCACCTGAATTTTGACAATTTGCCGCCGAATTGTCAAGAAATCTTTCCTACCCTTCCAACTACGAAACTTATTTTGTATTCTTACTGCAGCAGCATGCACTGGTTCGTCATGATGTCCTGCCTTGTGAGACTTAACTGCAACAAGTAAAAGAGCACGTTCATCTGAAATTCCAAATGCATCTTCCCCATACTCTTCAACTGCTTTTTCTGAAAGGACTGCACTCGAAACACTTGATGAATATGAGCAGCTGCTTGAGTTGCTTTACAGACTGCAGCTAATGAGTCCTTCATTGACAATCCATATCGTAAGTCCTCATCAGTCATAGGAGCAGGACTTCGATGAGAAACTGTAGGAACTGCATTAGCTCCACTAAATTCTGAAGCTTTGCCACCCTTTTGTTCAATCGTAATAGATGAAAGGCGGGAACTCAAATCAGATAAATCAGATTCTGCAAGATAACCGGCAATTCCTTTGTGTCCACCGGCAAAAGCCAAGTCGGCAGGAGTTTGGCCTGAAGGATACTTGGGATTTGGATCAGACAGTGCTCCAGCAGCCGCGCCAAGAGAGATGAGAGAAGCAACTGTACGCTCTCTGGTATCAAATATAAATTCATGAAAGAAGATATTAAAAAGGAAATAAAATAGTTCACAAAATGGTACTAAAAAGGTGCAAGAGAAATTATTCTAAGACCCACCCCTTAATTCTTCTTTAAGGACATGATATGATGTATAAATATGAAAAATGTTTCTACTAGCTTTACTGATATAGTCACTTCAACCAATAAACTCTATGCGGCCGAAGTCAAAATTTCCAACTTCTGTCTATTATTATCATATGTTAGCCCAGTTAACTACTTTCTTTTCAAAGCCTCTATTATTAGTTGACAATTTTTTTTACTTCAATATTCAGTTAAACTAGGTGCCAAACCCATTCCCCTAATATGCTGTTTTCTACACTGAAAGGCAGGCCAGGAAGAAGTATAACATATAGGAAGAAGTTACTACAAAAAAATTCAAAAGAAACAAGAAAGAAAATTTCTAACGGTGTTCACCTGCCACAATATGCCGCCCAATGAAGTGCTGTCCATCCATTTACATCACGGAAGTTGATATTTACACCTGCAAAAACTGTGGGTTCTAGGGCCCAATCATAGCCAAGAGCAGCTGCAAAATGTAGCACACCTTGGCCATCCTGAGTTAAAACACTAGGGCCTTTTCCACCTTCAGCTACCTTCTGCAAGAGCCATACATGCAACTTTTCCTTCAGAGACCTCTGCAGAAGCTTCTCTTTAGCCTTTTCTAATGAAAATTTCTCCTCTGAAGTAAGTTTTAACATCTCGTCCCAATCATCATTGTCCTCTTTCAGCAATGAACTAATTTTACTGCTCAATTCAGATAATTCATTTAGTTTGCTAGGATCATAATTTGGAGTACTGATAGAACTTAGACACAATAACTTTCCCAATCGCATACGGAGACTTTCAATTGTGATGTTACCACTACTATCAGCAAGATCCACATCTTGGACATTTCTATCTCGATATTCAAATTCTCGCAGTTCACTACATGCTAACCTATTAGAACATGTAACATAAAATGGAACCCTCCCGGCCTTCTGTACAGGAGTATGGCAACGAAATACACCACCAATTAAAATTTCTGCTGGAACTTCAACTTCCCCAAACATACATGACCAATTATTATTTTCTGCCTCCTGTTGACTCATCAAGAATCTTCCCGTGATCAGGACCTGAATAAGGAGTACAAAAATAAAGAAAAAGAAACTAAAAGTTAAAAAAATGTATTTACTAAATAGTAAATATTTCTTGAGCAGGGAAGTTCAGCTTCTAACTCAAGCACTCAGTGAATATTCTGTCCATGTTAAAATAACTGAGACATCTAATGCTTAGTTGACAATATTATGCATATTGAATACTAAACAGAATTATACCTTGATTTCTGAGCCCACATATACCCAGTTGGGTGAAAAATCAATAATACTGTACAGCTGATCTTGGGAGACGGAAGGACCCAGAATATAGGTATCCAAGCGTACTTGAGGGGGAATGTTGGAATCCTCAATTCCATTTTCATTTGCTATTGTGTCCCAATAAGCCCCGGAACTGGACAGCATATGCAACTCTTTTACATCTCCAAGTTCTTTACTCATCCAGCGATTGAAACTATCAGTCTTCTTCAGACCTTCATCATTTAGAGAACCATCAAACAAATGCTGTTTTAAAGAAGAGGAAAAGAGGGATTTCCCTTGTATGGCCAAATTGCTCTCTTGATCTAACTGCAAATGATGTCCACGATCCGTGTTTGACAGCTCTATTTGGCGATCATTCTCATTACCTTGCTTATGAAACCTTGATGTAATATTATGTGCTGAGTCTGAAGCCAACTTCTGATCCATGGGCCACTCGGATAAAAGTGAAGAACCGTTCTGAGATGTCTGTTGACAAGACAAATTAAAGCCTGAACAAGATGAATTAAAAAGAACATGAATTCTACAATCTCTGGAATGATGCATCATGACACTTGTATATATGTTAAAGGTTTAAGGATTATTTAAAAATAATTTTAAACCAACAATTGCTTATTCGATCAGAATTAATGACTTGACAGAAACCAACATAACCACCAATGAGTATCACACTACAGTAAGTTATCATATCACCATAGAAAGGAAAACATAACACAACCATGGTTAATTTTTAGGTAAGCAAGCCTCAGGGTACTTTACTCCATAAAGTTAAAGAGGAAGAGATAACCGAGTAACCTGAGACAAATTATGCACAAATGCCAAAGCACCAATATACACAACTTAAATATTTATGGCTCATAAAACTTCATCAAACTAAAGCTTTAATGCGATAAATAAACGAAAGTCGTAACAATCCTGAAACATCAAAACTAAGGAACATAATGTGATATTACTAGCACGCAAACGCAATTTAAGATGAGAAAACACACACACACACACACACATATATTCTCGGTCCTCAAAACTTGTTACATCTTAAATATCCAGCTATCCCTTTCTAGAGTCGGATAAACTTTAACCCAAATGATCTATTCTTATCACATCAATGGAAGTCAGGATAGAAAATCAAAAAACAGAATCCTAAAAGATGAATGACTTTTACAAACTAAAATAAGGTTTCAAAAATAAAGAAATACCCAAATTGCAGACTTCTATTCAAACAACTCAATTTCACTTGTAACTTGTATGAACCAATGCTTCCTAGAATTTCTACCCACATTGAAATCATAGCAAAAAAAGAAAAAAGTTTGTAAGATTATATATAAGCTTTTGATGCCAATAATATAAACCTACAAGGTACATCATATTCTACCTGCCAATCCCGGGCCGGTAGGTGACTCCCAAACTCATGCCGTTCACCAAAGCTCCAATTTTTGGTAAAAAGCTGTCCCAGTAATTCATGCTCTTGTTTAGGAATGTTTCCCATGGTGTCAGGTTGCATTGATGAAAACGATGTGTGAAAAGGCAGTGATCCAACATCAGAAGCACAATTTTCCAAGACATCCTCCCATGACTGGAGTTCAAGGTTTTTCCAGAGGTCACATGTTAACCCAGCATCACTACTATCCTTACTTTTATCTGCTTGACTAAGTGAACTAAAATCTGTCCCTGGAACATCTGAGAACTTTCCTTGGTAATCATCTATTAACAACAGAGTATGACAATAAAATTGGCATGTCAGCTCACGCAAGAACCAACTAAAAAACAGACATTTTAACCAGAACGTAATCTTACTAAAATAAAAATGAGAAGCAGGGTAATAAGGATCTGAGAATCCAGCATCTATATTCTCTATTACAGGGTGCTGTAAATCAAGAGAAGAGCGGAATCTGGAACTTGTATGGTTATTATACACTGCATCAAGTATCATCTTTCATATGATTATGAAATTTTTTGGGGCATTCTTCCTAAAAAAGCAATCTTACAGAAGACATTCATATCAATTGAGAGCTAAGACATAAAACGATTCAAGAAATGCACCTGATTCAGCATTCCCATATTCTGATGCCTGAGCACTGGTCAGGCTTGTTGTCTCTGTAGTTTGTGAAGGTAAATGGTAATTGTTGGGATGGAAACTGGAAGACATAGAACCTTCTATCTCAGAACTGGGTATAGTTTTTTTGATTTCTTGGGAATAAGGAGTAGTTTCTTCAGTCGCTTTAATGCGGTTATAATTTGTCCTATTTCCCTGATTATTCAAGAAAAATAAAAAATAATAAGACTTGAAATATAAGATAAGTGAAATAGAGTTGCAATAATAATGCCATTGAACATGACATATCATGGGACGATCTGCAAGGATCATGAGTGCAAAAATTTCAAAATATGGCCTACACATCAAGTAAATCAAAATGATCAATACCTTGACTGCAAAAGCCTGAAGTAAGATTAGGCGCTGAGTCCGAATACAACTTCTGTTCCATATGGCGCTTAGATAAATGTGAAGAATCATTTCTAGATGTCTATTTACAATGAAAATTAAAGTCAGAATAAAATCAAACAAAAAAGAAACCATAAATTTGATAATAGCATTGACTGAATATTACTGCATAAGGGAAATAAAGCTTCACTCTGACAACTTTAGTTAATTTTCCTGCCTGTATTGAATAGTTGAGATGCCTAGAGCTTAGTTGACATATTGCAATCAAATTGGAACATAAATTTTAGTATACCTCAGTTTTTGACCCCACACATGCCCGATTTGTTGTGAAATCAATAATGTCACATAGCTGGTCTTCAGAGAGAGAAGAATTTGGCATAGAGGTATCCAAGCGCGGTCGAGTAGGAATGCTAGAACCATCAGTCCTATTCTCGGTATCAACTGTCTCCTGATAGGCCTCAGAACTGAACTGAACATCAGCACCTGCAAGTTCCTCACTCATCAAGCCATAGGAACCTTCAATCTTCCTCAAACCCTCCCCCGTTAGTGAACAGTCTAACAAATATTGTTTTATAGCATCGGAGTAGATGGATTTTCCCTCTACAGTTGAAATTCTTTCAGAATCTGATTGCAAAATGTGTGCATGTTCTGCATTTGGAAGCTGTCTCTGAACATCATTTTGATTGTGCAGATGTGCACAGGAAGGGACCAAGGAATCAAGTAAATCAACACAATCGCTGTCTTGCTCACAAAACTTTGAAGTAAGACCTTGATCCAAGTCTGAATATGTGAAACATTTGCTAGCAGAATCATTTTCAAATGTCTGTCGACAAGAAAAATTAAAGTCTGAAAAAATATTGAACTTAAGTACATAGAGAAATGTGATGTATCAAGAAAGCACTAGATTTCTCAGTCCTAACAGCTTCCAAAGTATCTATTCTTGTCACTGTAATGTAATTACAAATAAAAAACACAAAAGATACTGTAGAATGAACTTCATAAATCTTTTTTCTATTTTAAACAGTTTCTACCAACCTTGAAACTATGGCAAAAGAAGAGCTATATGATATTGTACCTGCCAATCCCCAAGAAACTGTAGGTGACTCCCAAACTCTTCAGATTCACCAAAGCTTTTGGCAACAAGCTGTTCCGAAATTCCATGTCCTTGTTCAGGAATGTTTCCTATGGTTTCTGTTTGAGTTGAAGAAAATGATGGGTGAGAAGGCAGGGATCCAACATCGAGATCACATTTTTCCACGATATATTCCTGTGGCTGGAAGTTAGGAACTTTTTGGGGCTGGCACAAAAGGATAACATAGCATAAAACCATCAAATGTGCATTCTCAAGTATCAGTATATTCTTTTTAAGCCATACAAGATTTGCAGAAGGCACAAGGCAAGCAAGGAAAAGGCTTAGCTGCCAATTCGTGAATTTTTTAGCAACATGGAAAAATACAAGATGTTGAGAGATAAATTATAGTAGACTACAGGTTTCTGAGTGTTGGAGTTGTCGACCACTTCAACATTAATGGATTAAGCAGACGCATTCGAGGGTCCACTTCAACAGGTTTATATACTAGGTTTTAGTCTTTTAAACCTAGTATATAAACAAAATTTTCTCTTGTAATGAGTAATAGTAAATAATAGGACAAATCCATTCATTGTAAATAAGAGAGGTGAGACAATATCGAAATAATATTGACTCTGTTGGACGTAACCTATTAATTGGATGAATAAGAGTAAATCGTCCATTTTTTTCTTTCTCTTTACTGTTTGCGTTTGCGTGTTTTCTGTTTATTTTGTTTTTTGTATATCTTTATTTCATTCACTGAGCTTATAATAAGTTGTAAGTAATATAAAGATGGCATAATGAGCACAGAATATAAAGAGATAATTCTCTAACCTTTACATCTCGATAGTGGACAAGAACTATGTTTGAAAACTCCCTGCAATAGTCAATAGGGTCAATTAAATAAGATATCACAGCAGAATTTTACAGAAACGGAACATTTCTGATTCCGCAACTGGCTTAAGGGGTATTCACATTTTTGCATTCATTTTGGTAGTAATACTAAATACACAACCCCACAGCATCTCATTTCGAGCACAAATAGCTAGCTCTGCCGATGCAATCAACAAACATAAGCTTCATTGAGCAGCAGAGTTGCTAATTTAATGTAAGTGAACGCCAGCGAACAAAATCTCAGAGACTTACTCTTGGAGGATCCAATAACTTCGTCTTTGAAAGTTTTCATTATCTTCTCCATGGGCGTAGTAGCATTGCAACTCATTTACATTCCCAACCTGAAAGATTAAACCCCACAACAAAGCTTCTTCTTTTGAATATATTTTTTATTAAAAAAAAAAAATTAATTAATTTGGTTACTCACCTTTAGTTTTTCATGACATTCCTTCAGTGCCTTCCCATTTTTCTTCTTCCTCCACTTATGGCCATCATTTCTAAAGTTTCTCACCACCTTCCTATCAAAAAGAATAACCGAGCCACCTGAAATCACAGATGTTAATCAAGATTCAAGCCAAGGTTTTGTGACAATAAATTTACAAAAACTATTTGCTAAAATTCTCTCTTTCCATACTTGGCGGCAGGTTAGGAGGCTGAGGACAAATATGAATTTGGTGATAGTTTCGAAGCAGTTCACAAATTTCACGTGGATGAAGCCACCGATGTTGTGCTTCTAACAGTATCTGCTTAACATCTGCACTCACCATTAATTCAAATCATTCCATTTCTAGAAAGAATTAAAAGTAACTAACACAGAATGATTGAAGTTGTGTTACCTGGTTGAGCTCCAAGAGCAAAGCGCCTACTCCCCGCCATTAACAGTTTGTTACTGTTAAAATTAAATGAAAGACCGTTATTTATAGGATAAAATTAGCTTATGGGGACTGAACACTGTTACACTACGCGCCTTCCTTGACTTTGCGAGCTATAGTTTACTTGACTTTTAAAGACACTGTTTATAAACGCGTTTTCAATCTACGTACTTTACTTTTAGAGGCGTTTGGTTGGCGGTAATGTCAGATTATTGGGGTAATGTCATCTGATATTATTTGATTACCACGTTTGATTGTCAAGTAATATAAGATTTCGGTAATCTTCAAATACTAATAGTAACTACTATTGGTAATATTGGAAGTAATCTGATTACCTCTATTTTCTTAGGTATTCTTAGATTACCATGGTTATCCTTTTTTATTACAATTTTATTCTTTATTAATGAAAATTTTGGACAATAATGCCCTCATTTTAAAATAAATTTACATTAATATCCTATTTCAATTTTACCCTTATTTAACTAAAATTTTGGACAATAATGTCCTTGAATTTAAAACAATTTACAAACCATTGCCACTCAGCCACCACCACCACTGCCACTCAGCCACCACCACCACCACCACTGCCACCCAACCACCACCGCCTACAGTGGCCAACCACCACGGACCGCCTCGGAAAACTCGTCGGAGTCCCTAAAAAAGAACGAGTTTCGGTGGGAGGCTCCGGGAGTCATCGCTATGGCCGTTTTCGGCCATATCGAAGCCTCTTGGTCACGGTGAGTTGCTGATGGGGACTTTCGGAGACTTCCAGCGGTGGTCTGCGGTGGCGGCAGGAGGCGGGGGTGATTTCGTAATAAATTAAAGTTTTATATAAGCAAGGGTGTTTTAACTAAATCTGAAATATTGGGGGTTAAAAAAAATATTCAAAAATTAATAATAAAAATAATATTATATTAATATTTGTAAAGGGGACAATTTAGTAATTTAAATAACATACCTACCAATTTATTCCCCATAACCAACCATATTAATATAACATACCCACCAACTAACCAAACACATTTTCTTAAAGATTCCTAGTAATCTTTCAAGGTAATCTATCTTTCCAATAATCCAACATTCCCAGTAATCTAACATTCCTGAACCAAACGCCCCCTTAAAGACACTGTTTATAAACACATTTTCAATCCACATACTTAGCGACAGGCGTTTGCCCCGGCCCCATGGGGATCTAGCTCGACCCGGTCAAAATGGGATGGGGAATCCCTGAAAATATCAGGGATGGGGCTGGGGATGGTCCCCTAAAAATTTTCGAACCAATCCGGCCTGTCAATCCCGCCCCTATGGAGGCTTACCTCGCCCCTCATATTGTTCTTTTATTGAGAATTTTATGTTTTTTTCCCCTTACGCGATTGTATATAAAGTTATAATTAAAATTATGATTTTAATTAATTAATGTACCTAAATTTATGATATTTTCTTTTATAATACTTGATTCTAATGGTGTTTGAAAGCTAAGAGAAGGGTTACAACTTTCATATTTTAGTTGGGATCCAGTTTGACTTGGAAAGTTGTTAACAATTAAGCTGAAAGTTATGATAGTGCATGAAAGAGAAGTAGATTTGTTATTATGTGTTTTTAATTGAAGTATGACTTTTTACCATAATACTCTCATGACCTTAATACTATAAATAGAGGTCCTTAGCAATGTTTTAGAGAGGCTAGGGTTTTTGAAAACACATTAAGGGAGATAAGGAGACCAAAGGAGAGAGTTTAGCACTATTCATTCAGGAGAAGTTGACGTGGAATCTTTCTAGAGATAAATCCTTCAAGATTCTAGTTTCAATTTCAATTTACTCTACCTTTATTTTCAGTTTGGAATTTTTGTAATGATGATTTCACAACCGATTTTGATTATGTTTACTTTGATTAAGGAGTAGTTTTCTTTTGTAAGGAGTAGATTCTATGGAACACCATGTTGACTTGATTTTCAATTTTATTGAAAGTATTCAGAATGGGGGAACGACTTACACATACCCAAAGTTTGTTGTATAGACAAAGTGGTACTCAAAAGGTTTAGAAATGACAAACACTCACTTTTCGTCATGTTCTATTAGGAATTTTCATCTGCTAAAAGACAAAAATTGTGAAAAGACTAAAGTACCCATCGATCTCCATTCCCAACGCACGCCAGCAAGGGCAGTTCCATTGTTTATCACCGAACTTCACAGAAAAATGCTAAATTCGGTTAAAAAATCGATCGGTGACGCAAGAGGGTTGTGCAAATGAGCTTGGGGTGAGAATTGATACGGAGAAAAAGATTTAAAATTTAAAAATTTTGTGACTATAGATGAAATTACTATACTATCTTTTAGCAGACAGAGATCTCTAACAGAATATGACAGAAAATATTTGTTTATCATTTCCAAACCTTTTAGGTATCAATCTGTCTTTATGCCAAACTTTGGGTAGGTGAAAGTCGTTCGGTCATTCAGAATTTTTATTGTTCTACAAGAATTTATGTTATTTACATAATGCTTTTGGATTTGATTTTTCCTTAATTATTTAGGGTTTTTATTGAATGATGAATCGGGCAGTCAAATTTGATTAGAAACCTTTTGATTAGGGTTTCATTACGCTCAATTGTTTTATTGACGTACTGATGAACCGGGTGGTGAAATTACTTTAGGTCTTTAGAATAACATAGATTAGGAATTGAATAGGATACTATTGAGAGTTTTATAAAATTCATGTGGCCAACTTAGGTTTTAAGCAAGAGCGAAATCTAACTATTAATGAATTTTACAATTATGTTAAGTTCAGGAATTTAGTCATCTTTAGATCAATAAATTTATGAATCTGATTTTTACATTACGAGTAATATTACACTCACAAATACTTCTCACAAACTTTCTTTCACAAATACCATGTGTCGGCTCACAATTGCTCAGCTCGCATGAGTCTCACCTGTCCAACAATGGATCCTACTAGACCAAACCAATTACAAGCTGCCACATAGGGTTAGTGGGAGGTGTTAGCGCGAGATATTTGTGAGATTAGTATTATTATTTACATTATGTAGTTATCAACATTGGTTTAGGTAGAATCAAACACTTAATATTTTCATTGTATAATGATCTTTTGTTGTGTTGTTTTAGTTGTTTTTATTTTTAGTAATTTTATTTTTTTAAATTTTAAATTCACATCACAATTTTTGTCACTTCGAATAATGTAAAAATTATCCAATTTATTTGTTTGTTTAGCATTCCATCTTGGTGGTATTCAACACTGTACTCATCATTTTATTATTTATTGACTAATCTAAGTACTAGCGTACGAAAAAGTCACATCAATAGTCCATGTCAGTCTTGTGAAAAGCCATAACCGTTGTTTCCAGGAATATTCAAGTAATACTGATCATGGGTACATCTTGTTCTATGACAGCATCGGTGCTAGACTGCTAGTAACAAGAGCTGGGTAGAGGAGATTGAGAGGAGAGGAAGGGCTTTGGTTTTATTACAATTATTAGTTACTTTTTTAATCATTCGGACTCGATTTTAAGTTTTACTGTCGATGTCTATTAATTTTCTTTTGTTTTTTTCAACCTGTGAGAAGAGCTATGAATGAGAGGGAGAGATGGAAATGGAAATGGGTTGTGAAAAATGTATACTTAGGATGTACAGTGGATGGTGGTGGCAGCACCCTTCTGTCCTTTTGTTTTTTGTTCAACTGTTTGGAGATCCCATATCGATTAGACATGCTTAAGTCAATGGGTTTATAAGAGTGGACAATACTTCTACTCAATAAGGCATTTTGGGTAAAGAGTTAGACTCAACTCAAATTCTAACATGGTATTAAAGCCAGTCCCATTTGAGTTGAGTGATTGACCAGCGGTGAGCTGTCAAACTACCTCCATTCATAGACAAGTGGACCATATGAGTTTGATCGTGAGAGGAAGTATTAGAGATCTTATATCGACTAGACACGTTCAAGCCAATGGGTTTATAAGAATGGACAATCCTCCCACTCAATAAAGCCTTTTAGGTGAAGAGTTAGGCACAACTCAAATTCTAACATCAACAATAAGAGGAAAAAAAAGCAGCAGTGTGTATGGTGTGTGAGATTATCACAGAGACAATTTGTATTCTTCCTGCTTGAGAATGTCAATTTAACACTAGAAAACTGCAATTTGCTCAACTCACTCACTACTACTATAAAGATGGTTCCTACTTGCTAGTATTCATTAATATATTGGTACTGATATCGCAGTAATGTATTAATATGCCACTTGACATTGAACTGAGTAATTTACATTCATGTTAAAAGGATATTATTAATGATACAAGTCACACCTTGTCTAAGATAGACAGCTGATTTTGATACAATTCCTAACTCACACTTCAACTGTGAAGGAATAATCAGATTAATTGAGAAGTTACAACTTTTACCAACGGATATTAATACAATCTTTTTTTTTTTACAAGATTATGGAGTGAACCCACATTTTATCTCACTCAAGCAGTGTGCATGAAAGTGTCATCATCTAATAATGCTTCAATATCTATCAGGTCATCGTCGAAATCTGCTGAAACTTCTGAATTGTTGAGAGCTTTATCCTGCATTAAGAAGAAATAAACATGTTTAATGAAACATGAACTGGGTCGTATTAGATATTGTAACTTGAATATAATGATCCAAGTATTGAGCTCCTTAAGTTGCCATGTGATTAACATAAAGAAAAAGACAAAAGTAAATAAGGCTTGAGCAATGTAAAAATCTGTATTTGTATGTTAGTTATAGAGAATATATAGACCTACAGTTTCTGAGTGTGGAGTTGTCGACCACTTCAACATTAATGTATAGCACGCATCGAGGGTCCACTTCAACAGGTTTATATACTAGTTTTTAGTCTTTTAAACCTAGTATATAAACAAAATTTTCTCTTGTAATGGTAATAGTAAATAATAGGACAAATCCATTCATTGTAATAAGAGAGGTGAGACAATATCGAAATAATATGACTCTGTTGGACGTAACCTATAA